GTAAACAAGATGTGGTCCCTGCCATCACAAGAGTGTCTAGCCCAACAAGATGGACAGGTAGTAAACCAATCATTCCAATTAGGAGACGCGCTATAAAAGAAAAGTCTGGCTTACTTAAGTGAGCATACAGTCAGGGACAAAAGCTAGTCTTTGGGGAAGAGGTTCATTCAACAAATATCTATAGGCCAGACATGGGCCCAGTAACAGAGTAACGAAACAGAAAGCTTGCTGTTCTTGTACAGATAAGAAAAGTGAAATATTCTTTAAAAATGCCAAAATAATGCATTGTGAATATTATTATGGGATAATTATGTGAGATTGTAGGATCATATAGCAGGGAAATCTAACTTACAATCTGATTCAAGGAGACCACCTAAAGAAGAGTTGAATAGTGAATACAGGGACCCCCCTCCCCCCAAAATACAGAGTTTAGACTTAAGTTTAAAAAAAAAAAAGATAATTTTCTTCCATTTCAACTTTACAGTCTCACCCAGCGTCTTCTTTCCCAGCAAACTTGGTGTTGTGATAATTTCCAAATACTTGGCTATGCTTGGTCATGGAAAAACATCAATACCAAAACATACTACTGGACGTCAAATTCCCTGGCAGATGAAAAGGATTAGACCTTAGCAATCTCCCACAAGTGCCCATTTTTAAGTGGTTGACCCAGTTTATAGCTCAGAGCAATCAGGTAGGTTGGTATAAGCTATTTCTATTAGATGTCCATTTTGGGGGGCAAACTGTTTTAGGACGCCAACCTTCAAGTTTTAAGCCATCTGCCTGACAGTCATTCCTAATCTCATCCTCCCTTTCCATCATGACATGGAATTGTCATCTGTGGGAACTCTTTTTTAAAAGAAATATCATCCTTAGCAATTCATCTTCCTGTGTTTCCTCACTTGTACAGGGCAAGACAGTGATGCATTGAATTGGGAAGGAGGGGTCATTGCTGGGAGCATATTGGGCTTGGCATTTTTTTTAACTTCTCCAGCTGTTGCTGCTGCGAGAAATAATCTTGAAATGCTGTCTTTTTTTTTTTTTTTTTTTTTTTGGGTAGTAGAAACTTTCTCTTCCTGTTAAAAATCGGTTTTGATAATGTACTCAGAGTGCTGACAAATCCGAAAGAAAGAGCAGACAGGGGAAGTGGAGAGCTGCCCGGGGGAGCTTCCCTGCGGGGACTCTCCCATTGCCACCTGGGGAACATGGGCAAGGGGAGCGGGAAGCAATGCCACTGTTCTAAAAATTTGCGTGGAGGGAGAACTGTGAAATTGATGTGCATCTAACGCATGTAACTTTTTCAGATTGGCCTGCGTTAGTCATACAATTACTGTATTTACCTCCTAATCTGGAAGAACAATGCGACCCCTTACAACGCTAGATTTAGGGTAGAAGGCTAATTGCTTATATTTCATCTTAGGTGTGTTTTTTATAGACAGAGTGGTGACACAAGCAACAACCTGCTAAGTCTGAATTCCACACTGGCTTATGTTTGTGACACATTCTCTGCCATCAGCTAGTAGGTTACTTCACCTGTCTTCTTCGCTGGATCTACAGATGCTGAGGGAAATCCAGAAAAGAAGCGAGTTTCCAGAAATCCATAAGCAAGAAAGGGAAGCTCAGTATTCTGGGCACTTAGATGACTTTCCTTTGAGAGGCCACAGATCATCTTGAAATCATTCTGACTTGGACTGAGATAAAATTTAGAATGGACTGGCATTGGCGCCAAAGACTGAAAGACACTTACATGACAAATATTATCATTACGACTCTGCAATAACCTTGGCACTTAGTTTTGAAAGGACAGTTCACTAGGTAATTCTTAAAATGCAGATAAAATCGATTTAAAAGAACAATTTTCTAGTTCCCAGAAAGGGTTATGACAAACCTAACCCTTTCCTTTCATGGGGGCCAAAGCTGGGAAAATTTTGATTTCCAGTCTCCTTTCTGAAGCAGCCAACTCATGAGGCCAATAGGTGAATAAGACTGTATAGTCAGTTCCAGAGGGTCTTGAAAAGTTTTATCCCTGTGGTTATTATAGAAGTCCAGGATTGTATTTCTTTTCACAGAATTTGATCAGCCTCTCACTATGTCCTGGGTGGACCAAAGTAAATGTGGGCTTCTGATATAGCCAAGAAATAAAAAAACACATAGAAATTGGAAAGGGGGGAGTATATCTTACCAGCTTGCTATACACTACCGTAGCAAAGACATCTAAGCTTCTCGAAAAACTGTAAGTTCCATGTTAAATGACTGTGCAATAATCCATGACAGATTTGTAATTCATTTTTCATCTGGTTCAATCATCCATCTATCCAATAAATACGTGTCATTTGATATTAGCTTCAGAGCTGATCAGCAGCAAAGTACAGTTGTTTTCACTTTTTCCTTAGCAGAGGAACTCCTTTGAAGGATTATACTGAATGTTAAAATAAACATTTAAATAAAACATTGAAGTTGAAGTACTATAGTGAATATTAAAAATAAAGTATCTAGAGTTGCTTTCTCCTTTCCTCCAGTGATATAACTGAGCCCCCTCAGATAATCTATGAAGCCCCACTAGGCATAACTTGAAGACTTCTGATCAAAGGACTGCAGATGGGAGCCTTTTCCTGTCAAAGATCTAATTTTCTTTTTGTCATTACAAGTCAGTGGGCTAGGCTTTCGTAGTTAGAATAGATTGAAAGGTTAAATTTCTCTGATTGACTAGGGGTAGGTCAGTCACAAGTGTAAACCTTGGGAATCAGGAGATTTGGGTATGACAGGGCCATTCAGACTTTCTAAATGGCAAGGTCCTGTGGCCCTCTGAGACCTGGTTCTGGGCTCCGCATTGGTGTATCTGAGCAGCAGGTGTAATTGGAGCCATAGTTCAACTTGTCAAGACCAGATGAGCTTGTTATTTAGAGCAACACCTCTGGCTTCCAGGGTGCAAATCCATCATCCGTGAGCCTGAGGAGGATGTGGTCTGGGGTCATTGACTTTATTTACAAGGTTTTAATGAAAATGGAGCACTTGTCAATTCCTAGTCCCTTTGCAGAGGAATGGCAGTATGGGTGCCAGGGTGGGACTGGGGAAAGAACATATATATGGGGTCAGAGGATCTGAATTCTGGTCCGGATGCTGCCAGGTACTTGCTAAGTAAAACGTGAGCAAATGTTTAAGCTGCTCTGGATCTCAGTTGCCTCCTCTGTAAAAGGTAATCATAAGCTCATTGGGCTTTCGGGAGCATATAGTAAATTGAAGGTTTATACGGTATCTACCATGATGTCAGTTACACAGTAAAGAGTCAATAAATGGTTAACTCCTGTAATACTTTTATTGTCACCATTAGTTTTATGGCTAGGTCATTTGGCTGCTTTAAGTCTGCATCCTCACTAAAAAATACAGGTAACAATCGTCCTATTTCTATCTTTGAACAACTCTGCAATTTAAATGAAATATGTACTAAAAGCACTTTTGAAATTCTCATAACGATACGATGTTTAATGGAAGACAATACAAATACCTGTCCTTGAGGGAATGACATTCCAGTGGGGAACACACAATAAGTACAATAAATAAATAAGTTATATGCTGTATTTGAAAGTTACAGGTACCCTGGCAGTGGGGTGTGGGACGGGGGATGGTGCAAAGTGAGGTCATGCGTGCTGGCTAAGGGAATTATGACTTCAATAAGGTGGTCAAATGTGCCTCCAATAAAATAACATTTGGGAAAGATATGGAAGAGGTGAGAATAAGCCAGAGATCCGCTAGAAGACTGTCCTAGGTGGTACCTAGTTCAGCTTGTCTAGACTGTTCCTCAGAGCAACCCTCAAAAGGGATCACGCCTGCCATGTTCAGCCAGTAGCCTGCAAGGAGACCAGTGCCCCAGGATAGGATGGTGTTGGGTTTAAATTCTTCCCTCCCTCCTGTCTTCCCTCCCTCTGCTCCTTTTTTACAATGTTTCCTAAGTGCTCACCATGTACAGGCTGGATACACATCCCTTCTAGTAATGTGTGGACAGTGGTTGCTTCATAAATGCTTGAGGAGTTACTGCCAACTGAATCCTAAATGCCAAGGATCCTAAATGGTATGGGTCCATTCTTGTCAAATGAAAAACATCCTTCCTGAATGCAAAACTTGATGTTAGGAAAGTTGATTCCTGGTTTCTGGTAACTTGGAGTGTCTTTTGTGTCCCTGGAGAACTGGCTTAGCTGGTGTCCTGCGGTCTGGAAAGATCCAACTGAATCTCAGTGACATTTGACACACCCGGGAGAGCACCTATTAAGAACCTAGCAGACAGTGGCATACCCTAAGTTGCCACTAAATTCTGACGAATGCATGGCTGACCTGTAACGATTAAGTGAAGCCGTATGCCTTGGTCTGTAATTTGAGATTCCATCTAAAGCACAAGATGATGTTCTCCAGTGACTCTTTCTATCACTCTTGGGTGAGATCTGGACTGGGGAAATGACTGCACAACTAGATTTTCTATTCATCCCGCTTGAAAGGAGCAGGTGCTGGGAAGGAGAGCTCATTTCTGGGCAGTTTTCTTGCCACTGCAGGTTCTGTATCACTGGAGTGTCTGTCGCTTATCATTAGTAGGAGTACAGAGAATTCTAAATGCAAAGATAACACAGGGGTGAGCTCCCCAAATATAATGCATTTAAATGTGGTAATATCTTCATTTTGTGTTAGCTCCAGGCATTCACTACTCCGCTGCCTCTCCGTACATACAGCCAGGAAGTGTTGCCTCTTGAGGGCTCTTCATTGGTGCTCTTTGTTGCATTTAAAGAGTACTGCTGTGATGCTTGTCTTCTCCAAGATGAGACATCCCTTGTACATAATCTTGTATGCATGTATATGTACATGTTATGGGAGAGAATCCCACAGTAACTGTACCTCATAGAAACTCTTCCTTTTATTTCTCTCACTTTCCCCAACCCCTTCGCACATACCCTCACATGCCTGAATGCCCACTGAATTATTTCTAATCAGTGTCCTGATTCTTCCTCTCTTGCCAGAAGGAGGGACATGTGAAGTGATCGCTGCGCACAGATGTTGTAATAAGAACCGCATTGAGGAGCGATCGCAAACAGTCAAGTGTTCCTGTCTACCTGGGAAAGTGGCTGGAACAACAAGAAACCGACCTTCCTGTGTCGATGGTAAGTAGCTGGCTTTACACCTCTCTCTAGGAGTTCATCTGCGTCGTTACTGTGCATAATATATATGTTTTGTTTCATCTAAATATGGTTCAGGATAATGAAGAAGGTGCATCCAAAGTGCTGCAAAGTTAGACAAATGCCAGCCCTCTACATAGAGTTTGAATTCTTGTTTCTCTGGCTTTGGCATTTTCAAATAGCTGTTGGTTGACCATTGTGTAGAAAAGATAAGGTAAAGGAATCTTTTCAAGTCTATAATTTTGAGGGTCCAGCTCATCTGGGAATTGATTTTGGATCGAGGTTATGTATGACTATGATGATGATGATAATGGTAGTGAAAAAATAATACCTAACATTCATTCAACACATATTTAATGAACATTTACTATGTGCCAGGCACTGCTCTAGGGGTTCACATACATTCATAAACAGATAGAAATGCCCTGAGAGTTCACCATGTACCAAACCCTGTCCTAAACATTTCTCATGCATTATTTTATTTACTCATCCCAACACCCCCATCTTTGTTATCTATTGCTATGTAACAATTTATGCCCTCCCCCCAAAAGTTAGCAGCTTTAAACGGCAAACGTTGTCTCACAGTTTCCATGGATCAGGAATTTAGCTTAGCTGGATGGTTCTGGCTTAGGGTCCCTTCCGTGGTTACTGTCAAGATCTGAAGGCTTGACTGATGCTGGAGGGTGGTTTTAAGATGGCCCGTTCACAGAACTGTTGGCAGCTGGCCTCTTTGCCCTGCCACATGGACCTCTCCAAAGGGGCTGGGTGTCCTCACAACATGGCAGCAGCTTTCCCCAGAGTGAGTGACCCAAGAGAACAATGTAGAAGCCACAGTGACCTTTTCTTTTATGATAGAGGCTCAGAAGTTATCCTTCATTGTTTTCACAATATCATATTGGTTATATAAGTCAGCCCTATCTGTTCAGCATGGGAGTGGATGAAAAGGGCTTGAAAACCTGGAGACGGGGACCCCTGCGGCAGATACACTTTCCCTCCCATTTTAAACATGAAGGAAACTGAGGCTTAGAAGAGTTAATCACTATTCCATTGGTCCCATGATTGATAAGTTGTAGCTGTACTAACTCTTGAGATGAAAGTAACTGACTCTAATACCAAGTCTTGACCACCATCTTTAAACAATTTTATATGCCTGTCAAACAGAGAGTCCAAAGTTCAAAGCGATCACAGATGTCTTTCCCCATCTTTATCTTTCATAATTTTAGAGCCAAATGTGAGCTGATCTTCAAATTCTTCGTAAGAAAATCAGGACTCAGAGAAGTGACTCACTTGCTCAGGTCACAAAGCAGGAATTAGAACCTAAATCTCTTAAATTAGGGTCCATGATCCTACCTCTAGATATAGAGGGGGAAGGACACCTTCTAGATTGACTCATGGATTTTCATTATGAATTATGAGGTGGTTAGAAAGGAAACACACACAAGCTAGACCAAGAAAGGAGAAATTTTTTTTTTTAAGAAAATAGAGGAATCCTGGGAAACTCAGTTACAGGAAATTCAGCCAAACTTCATAGGATTCATAAACTGTTTAGGCAGCTGCCATTCTTGTTTTCTTTGTTTTTGTTCTTTCTTTCCCTCATTCTCCTCTCTGTAGACAGGTTCCCTCTTAAAGGGTTTTAACTTTTGCTCTCCCAGAACTTAGGGATTTGTGTGAAGCTTTTATTTCTGTGGTACCAACTCTGATCTCACTCGGCATCACGGTATAGCCCAAGTATACTCGCCTCCTGTGTCTTAAATGCCTTCTCCAAAAAGACTGAATGTGATTGACGCAGCTTGGGTCATCTGTCGATCTTTGCCCAATCAGCCACACCTAGAGGGACAAGCTCATAGGGTACTCTGACCCATGGGAAGGTCAAGCTGTTTTTAAAATGATGTAAAAAATCCAGGTTTAAGAATACACTGTGTTTTTTTAAGGAACCTCCATACTGTTCTCCACAGTGGCTGTATCAATTTACATTCCCACCAACAGTGCAAGAGGGTTCCCTTTTCTCCATACCCTCTCCAGCATTTATGGTTTCTAGATGTTTTGATGATGGCCATTCTGACCGGTGTGAGATGATATCTCATTGTAGTTTTGATTTGCATTTCTCTAATGATTAGTGACGTTGAGCATTCTTTCATGTGTTTGTTGGCAGTCTGTATATCTTCTTTGGAGAAATTCTACAAATAGAACTACCATATGACCCAGCAATCCCACCACTGGGCATATACCCTGAGAAAACCATAATTCAAAGAGAACCATGTACCAAAATGTTCATTGCAGCTCTATTTACAATAGCCCAGAGATGGGAACAACCTAAGTGTCCATCATCGGATGAATGCATAAAGAAGATGTGGCACATATATACAATGGAATATTACTCAGCCGTAAAAAGAAATGAAATTGAGCTATTTGTAATGAGGTGGATAGACCTAGAGTCTGTCATACAGAGTGGAGTAAGTCAGAAAGAGAGAGACAAATACCGTATGCTAACACACATATATGGAATTTAAGAAAAAAAAATGTCATGAAGAACCTAGGGGTAAAGCAGGAATAAAGACACAGACCTACTAGAGGATGGACTTGAGGATATGGGGAGGGGGAAGGGTAAGCTGTGACAAAGCGAGAGAGAGGCATGGACATATATCTACTACCAAACGTAAGGTAGATAGCTAGTGGGAAGCAGCTGCATAGCACAGGGAGATCAGCTGGGTGCTTTGTGACCACCTAGAGGGGTGGGATAGGGAGGGTGGGAGGGAGGGAGATGCAAGAGGGCAGAGATATGGGAACATATGTATATATATAACTGATTCATTTTGTTGTAAAGCAGAAACTAACACACCATTGTGAAGCAATTATGCTCCAATAAAGATGTTAAAAAAGAAATACACTGTGATCAGTGGTTCTCAATCAGGCCAATTCTCAGGGGCCATTTGGTATAGACATTAGTGTTTGCGACTAGAGGGGTGCTCCTGGTGTCAGGTGTGTAGAAGCCAGGGAAGCTGCTAACCGTCCTACAATGCACAGGACAGCTCCCACAACAGAGTATTTATCCCACCCCCAGTGTCAGTGGAGCTGAGGTTGAGAAACTTGCACCATGATAATTTACTTATTCTAGATCACAGTCAGCACAGTAAAGCACCTCTACTGCAGGGAAGGCAGGCAGCTAGACTAGAAGAGCCATTGCATCCTCTTACAGGAAGCAGCTCTTGGCCCTAGAAGCCAATAAACATTATAAAACCATGATGATTTCTCCTAGTCTCTGCCAAAGAAAGCATTGAGCCTGTTAACTAGAAATCTCCATTTCGTTTCCAGTTCATTTCTATCACTAATGATCTAGAAATAGAATTGCCTTCAGGATTTGGGTGGAAGACACAAAGGCAATGCACTGTCTGTGCTGGCAGAGGGGAAAATGACATTTGGCTGTAAGTTTCTGTGAGAGGTGAAGCCACATAGTGGTAACATTTTGTCTCTCAGAACACGTTTGTTTGACTTTGGACACTCTGAGCCCTTTGGTGTAGTAGGTTTAGGCTATTAGTGTCTGTCTTCTGAGCAAAATTCCATGAAGTATAGAGTATTCTATAGTCTTATGTTGATTGTTTATAATTTCCATAGCATTCTACTCCTCCAGAATCTTGGAATCCATTGGCACGTGTGGGAAAAGTCTATGTGTTACTTCGATCAAAACTCTGTTTATGGCCTAGATCTCTACATGCAAATTAAATATGAAGTGGGTATATAAATTAACAATTCCAGTGTAGTTATTAAGACCACGAACTGTGAGATTAGGCAGACATGAGTGGAATCCCAGCTGTACCAGTTACTAATAGAATGACCTTGGGCAAGTCACATTTGCTTCCTAACCTGTTTCTTCATCTGTAAAACGGGAATGAGAATTGCTTCTGCTTCATGGGGTTGTGGTGAGAACTAAGGAAATCATGTGTGTAATGTGCTTTGCATAATGTCTGGTTCTCCTCAAGTGCTCGCTAAATGATGGTATCAATTCCTATCTTACTAATAATTGTGGGTAATGCTTAGAAACAGACATTATTTTATGAAGTTTTGTTTCATATTAATTCAATACAGTGGCATTTTAGCCACTATCTTTTGTGGGAGCTGCTTCAAACTATTTACCCTGGATATCATTAATGATGGTCAGTCTTCTTCAGGAATGTATGTTCATTATAGGAATTTTGAAGAATACAGAAGTACATCCATACATTAAAGTCACCCATAATATTACTGCTCAGAGATTATCGTCGCTTTGTAAGAAAATAAGTATATGTTCTTTGAGGTTTAACCCATCATTAAAGAGAAACTCACAAAGTACGTATTTTATTGAACTACAGTGTTATAGTACTATCTGATCAACAGCTTGTTCCCTTTAATATGAACATTTTCCAGCTTAATACATACTCTTAAAGAACATTATTGTTAATAACTACACAGGATTTCGGGGGGTGGATACACCACCTTTTATCTAACTATTGCCTCCACTTTGGCACATTTATGATGTGTCATGCATTTCCCTTTCTCATTTTAAGAATGGATAGAAACCAGTTTCTATCTGTGACAGCAGTTGACCATCCATATATCACGTTTGTCCTAAACATATTCTGTTCTACATAGTGCATTTCCCATGCTAAGCGTTCCAGTTGCTGTTATTTGCTTTTCTCTGAAATGGCAGGTCAGATGCCTTTTTATAGTGTTTCTGAAAACAGAGGCACAGCTTGATTTTTTGAAAAGCTTATATTGGATTGTTTTAAGATTCACACTCTGAGACCAGATTGTTTTAAATGGAACATAAATTTTGCAGTATCATCTTAGCAACTTATTCAAAAGTATAATACATGATATTTGGAGAAGTTTTTAAGGAGTGGACTTTTAGTGGAAAAGTGATCCTCTGTCGCCTAATAGCTGAAAATACCAAGAGAACATACTCAGCAACTTAAATTTTGGCCTAGTCATTTGCAGATATTTTAGAAAGC